TGTCAGCCAATTAGTGGTGCAAGTTTTAAATTCTTGTCTGGAAACACACTTTCTAGAGCTTTGCTACTCACCTTGGATGTCTGTGGATCTGGGAGCTTATTACATAAGCAGAAACTCAGAGCTCCCAACCCACCCCTGCTCCCCAGCCAGCTGCTGGATCAGAATCTGCATTTCAATAAAACCCCAGGATGTCTGTGTTCATTTTAGCTTGAGAACCCTTGTCTAGAAGGTCATTCTGTGGCTGCTCCCGCTTCATTATCTTGTCAACCAATATAATTTCCTTCTGCAGATTACTGGAAGAATTGGTTCAGAAAGAGAAAGAATTACAAGCACTCCTTCATCAAGCTATTGAAGAGAAAGACCAAGAAATTAAACACCTGAAGCTTAAGTCCCAACCAATAGGTGAATAGCAGAAAATTTTAAAGTAACACTGTTCAACCAGACTGCCACAGAAAACTAGAAAGCCAACAGGCAAACTTTATGTCATGGCTTATTCAGCATCTGTCACTTGTACCACAACTACAAGCAGAGATTGCTGTACAAAAATATCCAATTCTTAATTGTAGCAAACTATTATTTCTTACAAGTACAGTAAAAATGATTCATAATTATCTTTTCCTGAGATTATATATTACTGAGGTAAATAGGGCTCTCCGTATTTTTGTCTTTCTTTTTAAGGATTTCACAAAGAAATTACTAGAATGATATAATACTATTTTTGTCATTTTACATTTGTATTCTATGTGTTCTAGTGTTTTATAATTTGATAAGGCTTAAGTATAATAAAGATAAAGCAGTAGCAAGTCATAAGTTGAATATACTTTAATAAAATGTTTTGTCAATTATAGCTCAGTTTTTTTATTTTTTAAGTCATAGATTGGAACTTTAAAGAAATCTATTCTGTGAGAAATTGGGGATGAAAGCTAATCTTTAGGCAATCTTATTTAGCCGATTTAGAGGAAAATAAAAGTCATTATTTTTTGTTCAGATATATGGTCCTTCCATATTATTGCAAATAGGGGGAATAGAGATTATTATAATTATATGGTTCTCTGCTAATTATGCTCATTTTTGTTGCCTGAAAAACACACAGTATGATTTTGAAGCATCATTTTATTCTAAGAAGCTATAAACTTGATACGAAACTACAAGGTGGACGTACCATTAATTATTGTTAGTGACTCTCCATTTACTAGTATATTAAGCAGCCTTAAAGAGTTTGATTTACATTATCTTGTAGACTGCCAATCTCAGTGGTTTCTATTAATTATACTGTGATGGAGAAAAGTCTGTTAAAGTATCAATAAATGTTGACTATCAAATGACCTCTGAAGCTAAGAATGTCCCTCCTTATCCCCCCACCCCAATTCTGTTCTAGATATTCCTGGGTTGCCTCTGAGCCACTCCAATTCCCCTGGCACAAACACTGAAGATTCTGCACTTAGTGACTGGCTGAGGGAGAATGGAGCCGATGAAGACACTATAAGTCGGGTAAAGAAAATGTTCCACGAGATAAATGTTTTCTCACTTCTTTCCTAATGCTGAGCGCCTCCGATGTGCCAGGCACGGGGGATACACTGGTGAGAAACTCTGACCCAGCCCTGCCCTCCTGAGGCTCACAGACTAGGGTAGGCAGACCATAATCAGAGAATTCCACGCGTACAAATGTAATTACGTCCTGGTCAAGTCTGTAAAGGAAAGGTTATCAGGTGTTAGGAGACAGAGGGAGGGAGAAGTTGGGGAAGGTTCTTGGAAAAGATGATTGGCGAGCTGGAGTCTAAAGGAATACTTAGGAATAAACTGTATGTCTGTTCTGGGACGGGGGAAAGGCAAAAAGGGAAGACCGTTCGGGGCGGAGGACAGAGACAGTGAGGCAGACAAAAGCTCTGTGGTCCAGAACCCGTAAGGATTTTTATGCTGTTTAATTGAAAATAAAGAAGAATAGGAAAAATCAAGACAAGAACTAAAAGGAAAAAGTTCTTCTGCTTCTCATTCTTTCTCTCATTTTTTAACTCTTAAATTCTCATATGACATTCTTAGACTCCACTGGACAGCAGCTATTTATTGCTACTTAATAAAATAGACGAGTTAGTGAACTTATATCAGAAACACTTTCTATACAAACTATATTATATAGGGAACTTTTGTAGTTAGCATGAATAGATTTCTTTATGTTGTAAGATCACACATATGTGCAGTAACAGGTTATATTTGTATTATTTTATAGAAATAATAGTTTATATAAATAGGAAATATATTATTTATTTTAATACAATATTACATTGATTTCAGTTTTATATTTAAATTTTTTCAATGACTAAGAAAAAAGATGAATTTCTCTTGGCTTGATAATTTATTAGATTGTTTAATAAAATTTAAGAGTCTCCTTAGAAATCTGCAAGCAAATTACAAAAATTTAAAGGATTTTCTCACCTATGGGAAAAATTTATCCAATCAAATGTTCCAAAATATTTCCCCTCTAACTTAGACTCAAATAAAAACTAAGGAGTAGTCATTGACGGCCCACTAAATCACTGACCTTTTTGAAAGATTTAAAATTAAAAGCTTCACTTAAATTCAGGACTCTGGTTTTGTAGTAAGTATCAGAAAGTTTTCCGAAATTAAGTGTAAACAACACATTTTACCCACTGGGAAAAAATAAAGTTACAAAGCACTAAACCTTTTAAATACAAACATTATCTTATAAGCAGAAGATGTAATTACAAGCAAGTCTTATCTATTCATCAGAAGACCAATCAGAAGTACTGTGTTACTTATCATCTTTCTGCTCCTAGCAGTCCTATGGATGTAATTCTTTGTAATTATTTTGTAATGGGGGGACTTTTTTCTAATAATTCCAAAAGAGTCTGTCTTTAGTGAATTTCCTTTTAGATTTATTTTTCATTATTGCCAATGTTTACATTGTGGATAGTTTGCTGCTTATGGAAGTGCGTAAGACATCTTACTTTTGTGCATATTTTACTTTCTCCACAGTTTTTGGCTGAGGAGTATTCATTAATGGATGTTCTCTACTATGTTACACGTGATGATTTAAAATGCCTGAGACTAAGGTACCACTTTTCTTTCTGTTCAGTCTCATCATGATGGAAAGAGCACTGGGCTGAGATCAAGAAGCCTGGGCCCCTTCCCAGCTGATTGCTAACTAGCTCTAACTAGCTCTAACTAGCTCTAACTAGCTCTCCAGTCTTGGGTAGAATGCTCGAGTTCTCAGCTGCTCTGAGTAACCTGAGTTGCTTAGACCAGGCTATTATTGGGAGCACTAATAAGCAATACGTCGTATTAGGAAATGCAAATCAGCCAGAAGAGTTTCTTGATAACATATCAGATTAAGACCATGCAGATATCTTAAAGCTGGTATCTTAAACCAAATGCTCTAATTTGGTTCATGATCATATCATACTTACTAAAAATACCAAATAACATGGTATAATCTGAACACAGTTCCTTACAATAATTTTTTGTCTCCATCAGGCCAAGCACAGACATAACTATTGTTTTTATCCACCTCTAGAAAGATGCATTTCAAAAGTGCTGAAAATCTAAAATGATGCTTTGGGCTCTGGTTGTCTGTGGGAGTAGAGAGGAAAGGCGTGGAGGGGTGAGGAGAAAATATCTACAAAAAGAATACATCAGGACTGACAAGCCTTTGGGATCTTCATGTTCTGATCAGAGCCGCTGAAAACTGAGAAGTCACTTTCATATTTCAAGGGCGCTGTTTCAAGTGGCCATCTCTTCACCATGTTCTTGTGTCTTTACACAGGGGCGGGATGCTGTGCACACTGTGGAAAGCCATCACTGACTTCCGAGACAAACAGGCTTGACTGTCACTCAGCTTGCTTCCAGCTTTCCGCGGAGATTCTAAAAATGAATATAGACCTGATCTTCTTCTAGGGGAGGGAGAATCGAAGGGACAGGAGAAAGAAGCTGCACTTTAAATCCAGTATTTGTTTACTCGTGTTAAAAAAAGAATAGATGAAATACACTGAAATTTCCTAACTGCTTCTGTTTCTATGATTCATAAGGACTCTTTATAAGGACTCTCAAAATAATGCCAAACACTGTGATGTTTGGGATTATTTTGGTCTGAACATTTTTATGGAAATATTTTTAATTCAGCAGCTATAATAACTCAGCCAAATGTTTATTTCACACGAAACAGATAGAACATTTCATGTGATTGTGCATCACTGGAACAAAACCAAAATGTGACCATAACTTTTTAGGCTTATGTGTGTTTGTATTATACCCTGATCATTTGAGTAGAAGTGCGTGATTTGGATTATTGTATAAAGTTTATGGGTTTTTTTTTTAAAGTGTGCAGAATCTGAGAGCAGTGGTTTTTACCTACCTGTATTAATTGTAATATTAACTATTTTGTAACTTAAGTTTCTGGTCTAGAGTACATTCGTTTGAGTCATTTATGTACTACTGAACTGTACCAGTTGCACCGGCCTGAATCCTAGTAATGTTAGCTTGTTCTAAAGCTATCCCTTGTGTCATATTTACTCTAAAAAGTAAAAAGACTCTCAAAATACTGTTTTGATAAATTCTAAAGAATTTGTATTTTGTTTTGGCAGTCTAGATAATTACTGTGTCAAAATTCTAACTGTTCCTTCAGCTCTAACATTAAATAGAATCTGTCTTCTCTTCAAGTACTCAAAGAGCAACTGATGTCCAAGTCATTCCTTGGAGCTACTGAGTGGGAAGAGAGAAAGTCCATGGAAAACAGAATAAAAGAAACTCAGTGTATTTTTCTCAAGACCCCAAGTTACCTTGGATGACTACTGTGTATCTCAACGGGTCTGCACATAGCACCCCACTGGGGAACACTGCATTTTCTGTCTCCTTAATTTTAGTTCTCATATTTGAGGTAAATATTTTTATATTAAGCTGGATATGTGTTATATTTTATAAGACTACCCATATGAATAGGATAAAATCTGAAGCTCCTAGATGGATGAATGACATAAACAAATTTCTTAAATACAGAGGAACTTGTTTATTATGCAATATAGAAATAACAGAGCTGATCTTGTATCATGACTTGATCCATACAGAACAGTCTTTAATAAAACAGGAGTCATCTTTATTTCTATGTGAAAATCAACATACAATATACCTTTTACATATTGCATTAGAGTGTGCAAAAAGTTCTCACCAGTATGTTCCTATTTGATACTTGCAACAGCTGCATTTTTTTCTTCCATCCCAATTCTGAGAGCCGTGATGTGTCCTGTGGCGAAATCTCGAAGGAGGTGAGGTGTAAATGAAGTCATAAATCATCTCACTCACACTTAAAGACAGGATAACTTGTGTATCAAGCCACAGTTCATATCCCCACCTGTAATGGTTAAGTGCTTCTTTTAAAACCATATATGTATATACACATCAAGCTACCCATCTTGAGTCAACTCTTTAATGATGTAATCTCCTCTTGGAATCTCCCTCCTACCCTATGTAGTAGTAGTATTCAGTAGCTCAGCCGTGTCCAACTCTTTTGTGACCCCATAAACTGCAGGCCACACGCTCTTCTGTCCGTGGGATTATCCCAGCAAGAATAGAATACTGGATTGGATTGCTATTTCCTCCTCCTCCTCTTCCCCTGTATCTATGGGCAAATGTTTCTCTATCCCTACATGGTTCATAATATACTCCCAGACTAGCATCCTTGGGGTTTTTTCACAATTCTGGGCCTTAGTCACAAAAGAAGGCAGTTCCATTATAGCTCAATTTCCATGAAAGTTTTGCACTGAAAGGCCTTTGGCATCCATCAAGGCCCGTGATTCTCAATCCAGCTTCATGTTAACATGATCTGGACACTTAAAAAAATATATTGATACCACCACCTCAGAGAAACTGTTGTTACTGGTTTGGGGTAGGGCCCAGAGATCTTTTTACAAAGCTCTACAGATAATTTAAGGCTTCCCAGGTGGCTCAGTGGTAAAGAATCTGCCTTCAGTGCAGGAGATGCAAGTTCAGTTCCTGGGAGGGGAAGATCCCCTGGAGAAGGAAATGGCAATCTGCTCCAGTATTCTTGCCTGGTAAATCCCATGGACAGAGGAGCCTGGCGGGCTACAGTCATGGGGTTGCAAAAGAATCAGACATGACTTAACAACTAAACAACAACAGATAATTTAACACTGTCAGGTCCCACCTCCTAATGCCAGGTGACATCTGGAGAGATACACGGACAGCTCCTTTCCATTAACGTGGCAATAAGATGGTTACTATATATTGTTCATTTAGTGCAGAAAGAGTCCAGGCACAGAGGCCTGGAGCAAAACTACCACCTTCCTTGTGACCTTGGGCAAGCTAATTCACCTCTCCCACTCTCAGTTTCCTCATTTGAAATGGGGGAAAGTACATGGCGTTGTTGTAAGATTTAAGTAATTGTTTTAAACCTATAGGTGTGGATCTGCTTAGTACAATACTTAGCAGATGGATAGCACTGCCATGCTGCCTGCTATTATGATCATTCATTCCAAAGTACTTCTTAAATATGTACTGGGTACTGAATCCTGTGCATGAAGAAGACACAGTTCTTTTCCCTGAAGCTCACTTTCAGAGGTGGAATCAAGACAACAGAAACAACAGTACATGTAGTAAGCGCTATAGTTGCATCAAACTGCCAGAGCGGGTCAAGAGAGGCTTTACAGCAAAGTGAAGGTCCAGAGCTGAGCCTAGAAAGATTTTTGTAACAAAATAGATTCACATGGGTGCCAGGGGCAGACTCAAAAATAGATCCAATGTTTCTTTTAAACCACAGCTTGACCTCTTTCTCCTAGTTCTGTTATTGCATATTGTGTTTCTTTCATTCCCAAGCTATCACATGACACAGTTTGGCAAAGAGGAATTAACTGCGAACCCACTGGAAGGCCTACTGTGTGTGAGGTGCTGTAGCAGCAGGAGAGATAGACACGCAGCCCATCAGGTTCAGAGTGCAGGCACGTGGGTCATTGAGGACATCTGCAGCCTGTCACCAAATCAAATAATTGATGGCTCCAGACTTTATGGACACCTACAGAGAAAGACAAGACAAAGTCCCTGCCACCAAGTCATTCGAATCAGATTGGAGAGGCAGATGTGCAGTAACAAACCACATGTGGTCTGTTACAAGTACAGAAGAGCACGGAGATGTTCAGAGGACCAGCTTGCCAAGAGACCCAGGGCAGGTGGAATAAATCTCACTGAGTTGGTGGACCTCAACCTGGGCCTTGGAAGAAAGGAAGTGTTAAATTACCTAGGACTGGAGAAGTCACTTTGGCAAACAGCTCCAAGAATAAAGGCAGTAAGAGATTTTCAAGATATTCTAGAGAAAGTGAACAACTTTCATATTGCACTAAAGCATACACAAATCTTAACTCATTTTAACTATTGAGGAAGTGAAGTCGTTCGCTCAGTCATGTCCAACTCTTTGCGACCCCATGGACTGTAGCCTACCAGGCTCCTCCCTCCATGGGATTCTCCAGGCAAGAATACTGGAGTGGGTTGCCATTTATTACTTGGCTGGAAATATGAATTATAGAGATGAAAAGTGGAAATGGGATAGGAGAGCTCAGGATGTAATTGGGGGATGGTCAAGGAGGGAAGTGGAGTTAGTATTTAATTATGTAGAAATGGGGAATCTAAGTTTTCTGAGCAAGGTGTGTGTGTGTGAGAAGATTAACTTGGCAACATTGTATTGGATAAATTAGAAGGAATGGAAATTTGACAGAGCAGTTCAGAAACTGTTTAAGATGTGAATGAGGGTCTAGTGGAAGCTACAGAGCGATATGATGTGAGAGGTAGAATTAAAACAATGAATTGACAAAATTTTGGAATCCTGGTTTGGGCAGTGATGAAGATTTTGAACCTAGGTAAGAGAATTCAAAAATAGGCATGTTGCAGGGGGGGCGGGGGTGTGTGTGTGCTGGTCTGGGGACCTGTTGAATTAATGTCAGGGCATCCTGCTAGAATGTGCATGAATGAGAACATGCTAGAATGTCCAGAGACCCTTGAGGATGTATTGGTGGAAGTCAGGACTGAAGTCAGGGTATAGATTCTCAATTTAGGAGTCACTTGAATGGAGATAACAGTAGATGAGCGCTGTCAGAAATAGAATAGAGATAGAAAGGTCATGGCCTAAGATTTGGGGAGGAGGCAGGTTTGGGGACAAGCTGAGAAGGAGGAAGAATTTAAGTCCACAAAACAGACAAAAGAACTGAACACAGAGGAGTGAGAAACATCAGGCCAGTGGGGTAAGCCACGAGGAAAACAATCAGGCTCGAGTGCTGCAGAAAGTCTAAGGGAACACAAGTCAAAAATTAATAATGGAATTTGATTTTATGAGCGGGAAAGCTTTTACAGACAGGTAAGAAAGACCACAGCCAGTTAAACAAAGATGATACACTGATGGAGGCATAAGGTCCACAAATTCATTCCCTTTGGTGAACAAAATATATCATGAGATTTGGCAGGGTGGGGAGTCAAAGGATAAACTTTTCAGAATCAGAGAGTCCTGAATGTATTTGTTGGGGCAGAGCCCCTTGAATGGAGGCGTTTAGGGAGTAAGGATAAGGGAGAGATGAGGTTTCAGAGGAGGCAGGAAGGGGAGTGGGTGGCCTGAGGACATCCAGCTCCTCCCCTGGAAAAGGGAGTATGATGATTCAGCAAGGTTTTGAGTTGGATGTGGGTGCTCAGGACAGATGGCTTCCACGTTCTCAGTAAAGTGCAACATGAAATACAGCGTGGTGCTGCGACATTTAACAGATGTCACCCATCCCCGTAGTCACCCAACCGTCCACTCTGTTCAGACACTGCATGGGGTCTGGAATACAGTCTGTACAGGGTCTATAAGTGCAGAATTTTGGTGTGTTTCTTGTTGCATTTATTTTTTTTGTAACTTGTGACAAACAAACGTAAGTTATCAAAAGAATGGGAGACGGGATGAGCACAGACTAACAAAAACCAAACTCTCATACAAATAAACACACCAGAAAGCCTTCACTTTTGGGAGGGGAGGAAGTCAAAGGAAGAACTCATTGGTTCACTTAACAGTATAGCAGAAGATTAAAAACAAACGGCCTCCTTTTCCTAAGGCACATTCTTGATTCTTTTTCTTTCAGAGAATTCAGAGTCTTTCTGATGTTCAAAGGAAAGTGTCTTAAACCCTGGTGACTTAATATATTAAAAAAAAAATACCTTTGGTTGGACCCAAGCTGAGGTCTGAAACTACCTCCATCCACCTGATGCTTTATTTTCATTGATTAGAAAGGCGGTAAGAGTGATCTGAATGTGATTTAGGAAGGTCACATTGCCAGATGATCAGTTTGCCTAGTCTACTATAGAAATAGCACGGAGGGAAAATCCATAACAACAAACCGCAGCACGTGTGCCTTAATGAAAACCTCTATCTAATCAGCCAATGACCCAGTAAACCAAATAAAACCAGCCCATTCCTGGGCTCAGAGTGGCAGGATGTTCATGCATGGATGGTGAGAGTTGTCACCCTACCAAGAAATCCAGCGCTGTTCTCAGACACGCTTGGGCTCCCCTAGATTCTGCTGAAGTCCTTGAGAGGATTTTAAACTGTTGGGAGCTTGTGACTTGTGTTCAGCCAACCAAGGCTGTGGGACTGCATCTCTGTGTAACCAGGCAGAACTGATCTCTGCTCCATTTCGTTCCTTTATGTTTCCATTTATACAGGCTACTTGCTTTTTTCTTCTCAGCATTTGTTGCTTGTTAGCGCAGAAAGTGATGTCTCTGCAGCTAATAATCTGTTTCTTAAAAAAGAAAGAAATTGTTGCCTACTGCTTTCTCCCCTGGTCTTCCGGAGCCAGCCACGAGTCACAAGGTAAGCTGCTAATCAGAAGTCAAGAATAAGAAAAGTTACATCATCGGGCACAAAGTTGTGTGCACTGGGGAGCATAAGATACAGAAGCCTAATGAAAAGACAGGCCATCGGCAACGATGTGCTAACGCAAATGAAGACTGGACCGCTGAGTCGAATCCAGCCCGTGTAGTTCGGCTTTCCCCGTGACATCACAGTCTCCGGCGGCTGTCACCAGGAACCCCAGCCCTGGCGAATCTAACAATTGATCAGGCTGCCTCGGAGCTCTGAGCGGAATAGAGCTTTCCGGATGCTCTCGCCTCGCTTCCACGGATCCTCAGAGCGTCCCAGTTCCTAGCGCCACCAAGCGTCCCCGAACCCCCTGCAGACCTCGAGGAGCTGGGCAGCCGAGACTAGAACCTCGCGGCCCAGGTTGCGAGACTCCGCCCGCTGCTCTGGTTGCGGAAACAGCCGCGTCAGCCGGAGCGGCTGCCACGCCGTACCTGCCCACGAGGGGGCGCGCCGGGCGCAGGCCGCTGCGGGCTCGCGAGCGCTCGATCCCTCCTTCCTCCGCCCTCCCCAGTCGGCGCTCACCTGTCTGGGCCGCGGGCCGGGAGGCGGGGGGCCGGCGGGAGCCAAGCCGAGGAAGAGGGCGGAGCGGCTCTCCGGGCGCGTCATCGGAGCACCATGGCGGACCTGGGAGCGGGCGGCGACAGCCACACGGGCGGCGATGGCGTGGCGCAGAGCGAAACAGGTGACTGAGCTGCGGGGCCAGGTGGGGGTCGGCGGGCGCGGGCGGGAGGGCGGCCTTCTCGCGCTCCAGCTCGACTTCCCCCAACAGGTGGAAGCGCGCCAGGGAGCGCGGGCGGGAGGAGGAAATGGGGAGACGCCGGTCCTCCTCACCCACCTGCCAGGCTGGGTCTAATTCGGTTGAATGGGGAAATCCTATTCCCCCAACCAAACCACCAGCCGGAAAATCCTTGTCCAGGTGCGGCTCGTAGGATTATCCTTTTCTGCGCAAACCATCTCGCCTTAACTGGCGCATTGGGTGCCGGGGTCGCCCGACGTGGTGGACGCAGCCCGGCGCTCCGGAGCGATTGTCCTGGGGTCCGCAGTTACAACGTTGGTCGCGAGAAGACCGAGATCGGGGGCTCGGGAAGCAGGGGCCGCTTTCGGGATGGTGCGGGCCTGCGGGTGCTGGTGGGGGTCTCAGAGAGTCGCTGACTTGAAAGGATCCTCAAGAGTTCATGTTTTAAGTCCGTGCACCAGCCATAGGTGGGAACGTCGTCTCGGCCCCTCCGAACGCTGTTCTGAGGACCCCGCTCCCTCCACTTCCAAGCCGCGGTCGAGGGCTGGAGCTCACATCCCTGAGAGCATTGTCTCCCCCCCCCCCCCCCTCGATTTCCCTCCCTCGCGATCATTTTTTTTCTTGCAGATCCACCTCTTTTCTAGTCCCCTCTTCTATTCTTGGCCAGTAAACTGTTTCTGGTACCTTCCTACACTTGGGGGCGGTGAGGCAGTTTCTTGTTTTAAAAAGCAGTGCCAGTTGCAGGCTCCCCAGTTAAGTTGCGTTTTCTGCTTACACATAATCGCAAAAAAAAAAATTGTTACCTAGATGTGAGACTCCCTCCACCCTCAAGAGAGGTATTGATTTAGAAGGTCTGCTTCTATTAATGCGAAAGGTCTATTAATGCGAAAGGATCTGTTCAGCTAGGTAGAGTTGGGGCACCTAAAGTCTGGAGACTTAATCCCTCCAGCCAAAGTACCTGAGATTAAGACAAAGCATCTTGAACTTGTTTACTTTGAAGTCACGCTACTTCCTGAAGGGTGGTTTATTTTGTCTTAATGTGTTTGAAAGATTGGCAGGGCATTATTTTGGTTTGGGGTGGAGAAGGAGTGGTTAAGAGGACCTGCCTTTGTAAATGCTTTAGAGAACTTGATAAACTGGGTTCTGAGGGTTAGGGCAGCAGGAGGATAGTATCCTCATTAAGAATATAAACGGTTTGGTGCCTGATCCGCGCAAAGGAAAAAACAACAGCAACAACAACAACAACAAACTGCTTCCGAAGCAAGATTGTTCCAGTGAGTTAATACGCACGTTTTATGCTAAAAATAATAAATAAGCATTTCCTAGAATTTGCACATGAAGAAGATTTTCAGATGTTAGTGAATTACAAACTAGTTTATTCAGTGCTCAGGCATGTTTGCTAAGGAACTGGTCATGCTTCTAACAATTAACATACAAATCAACCATGTCGCTGTCAGTGAAATATTTTCTTTATGATAAGGGCAATTTAACTGGCTACCATCTCCTTCATAGAGAACAATTCTTCCACATCTCTGCCTGGAAACTTCAGTTTCCAAAGGACAAGTTTTGTATACAGTCTTTTGAATAAGTGTAGTTTAGTTGATAAAAGAATCTGCCTGCAGTGCAGGAGACCAGGGTTTGATCCCTCGGCTGGGAAGATCCCCCAGAGAAGGAAATGGCTACCCACTCCAGTAGTCTTGCTTGGAGAATCCCATGGACAGAGGAGCCTGGCGGGCTATGGTTCATGGGATCGCAAGAGTTGGACACGGCTTAGTGACTAAACCACCATAGTTTAACTAAAGCTTATTTCTGGCTCATATCTTTTTCCTATTTTTCTAGCCCTGGATTACTGTTATGGCTTTTTATGGTCAGAAGACCTGTGTGATTAGGTGCCAAAGAAAGAAGGAAGGTGAAAAAAAAAAATATGTATATATATATATATTTAAATGTGGGTAGCAATTGTTTGAGGATTGTAACAACTTAGGAAGTTTTTCATGTATTTAAAATATGTGACCTATATCTGAATATCAGACTTCAGTGTAGTACTTTTCTTCTTATGGACGTATTTAATATTAAGATACAAATGCTGCAAGTTATTTTTTTTTTTTTTAATAATTACAGGATTATATTGAAGTGGGTTTTGGGGGATGGAGTGGGGATTTCTGTCTTTTATTACCATCAAGAGAAGAACATTGCCACCTTAAATGGCAACATTTGTTGAATGATTCATTGAATTCCCTTTTAGATCAGGTTATTAGGTAATTGGGCTTTCCTGGTCGCTGTGATGGTGAAGAATCCGCCTGCAATGCAGGAGACCTGGGTTTGATCCCTGGGTTAGGAAGATCCTCTGGAGAAGGGCATGGCAACCTACTCCAGAATTCTTGCCTGAAGAATTCCATGGACAGAGGAGCCTGGCAGGGGGGTGGCAAAGATTCAGACATGACTGAGTGACTAAGTCCAGCACAGCACATTAGTTTATTCGGAGGTAGAGCCCATTCTTAAATGTCTTAGTTTTTCTGTCCTTAAAAAGACTGTGGTCTAACTTTAGGGCAATTTAGATTAGAATCTCAGTTGATTATAAAAGTAACACCTGTAATGTGTTCATTATTATATACATATGTATGTGTGTGTATCAAAGATGGGTTGAAACTGGCAGCATACCACCCATAAAATGAGACTTTTTTAAGAATATTGAAAGGTAGAATATAAAAATCATATTTATTTCAGCATTCAGAACTGTATTTCTGTCAGCATATGTTTATTTTCTACTCAGAAGTAGTCAAGTCACATTCCTTATGATGAGTTTTTAATTTTTTCTTTAAAACGAACCGTTCTTTCCACTTAAATGTAGGCAAGAACTGAGCAAAATAATTGACTTGGAAACAAGTTTTTGGTTTCACCACTAAAGGATGTCAAGTCTATTCAGGTTGTTATTTTGTGTAGCAGACTGAAATTCACGAAATTGCCTCTGCCCAGGCTTTGTGTATTTAATTTTATACTAGTGCTCAAGAACTCTGAAAGTGAGTGTGCAGAGCTAACTTGTCAATTTAATAACTTCTTTTAAAAAAGTCTGTTGAATTAAAACCAAATCTAGAGCTGCTCTTGACTAATCCGTGAGGGCACACTTTCATGGACTGGAGATAAGTTAATACTGATGACCTATGAAATCTGTTGACACTCCTTTGGGGTAAATAACTTAGAACCTGGAATTGGGCTCTTTCTCTCTTTAGCTGGAGAAGGCAGTGGCACCCCACTCCAGTACTCTTGCCTGGGAAATCCCATGGATGGAGGAGCCTGGTGGGCTGCGGTCCATGGAGTCTCGAAAAGTCGGACATGACTGAGCGACTTCACTTTCACTTTCACTGTCATGCATTGGAGAAGGAAATGGCAACCCACTCCAGTGTTCTTGCCTGGAGAATCCCAGGGACGGGGGAGCCTGGTGGGCTGCTGTCTATGGGGTCGCACAGAGTTGGACGTGACTGAAGCGACTTAGCAACAGCAGCTCTCTTTAGCAGGAAGAGCATTGACCTTTTGTGTGATCTTGTTCCTGACTCTTCACTGCGTTTTTTCCAAATTATAAAGTGGTATTTAAGATCTTAGATTTCAGGGTCTGCAAATAAAAATTGTTAGGTGGGGTTCAGATGGCATTAAATTCATCCATTTTGAAATTCACATCCTAGAGCTAGTAATGCCTCATTCAGGGGAATAGATAACTTTTTCCCTGTTATATTTTAGCTAATTCTTACCTTTACATCTTGCTAAGTAGAAGGGCAGTATTATTAGACTAGGCCTGTGGGCTCAGGAGCCTGCATTTAATTGATACATTAGTTAGGCATGTGTGTGAATCACTAATTTACATTGGCATGTTCTATAAAAAAGAATTCTAACATCTTCATCTCCTGGGGCATGAAAAATAATCATTTGAAAGGGGTTTTTTGGCTGTATTGAGTCTTCTTTGTTGCATGTAGGCCAGTCTCTGGTTGTGGTGGCTCAGGCCCCTCACTGAGGGTGGCTTCTCATTGCAGAGCACAGGCTCCCGGCTGCGTGGGCTTCAGTAGTTGTGACTCCGTAGTTGTGGGCCCTAGAACATGCAGGCTTCAGTAGTTGTGACTCCGTAGTTGTGGGCCCTAGAACATGCAGGCTTCAGTAGTTGTGACTCTAGTTGTGGGCCCTAGAACATGCAGGCTTCAGTAGTTGTGACTCCGTAGTTGTGGGCCCTAGAACATGCAGGCTTCAGTAGTTGTGGCACACAGGTTTAGTTGCTCCGTGGCACGTGGGATCTTCCCGGACCAGGGATCGAACTCATGTCCCCTGCATTAGCAGGTGGATTCTTAGCCACTGCGCTACCCGGGAAGCCCCTGGGGCTATTTTTGTTTTTTCTTTTAAACTCAAGTCTATTAATATGAGTTGAAAATATTAAGGGTTAGAATAATTTAACCAAGAAATATGAACCTTCTCGAAAACATAATGGTGACTGAAAGGTTGATAAAGACATGATCCTTAGATTTCAAAAGAAAAACAAAACCCACAAGCAAATAATTACAGGGTTATAAGGAGTTCAGTGAAGAAAGAGTTACTTCTAAGCTGTGGCCTTTCATCAGGGAGGATGTACTGGGTGTAGTAATTAACTTAAACTTTTAAAATAGGTAAATGACATATAAAGTTGAATGGGGGCAGGAG